AAAAAAAAAAAAAAAAAAAAAAAAAAAAAAACAAAAAAAAAAAACAAAAAAAAAACTCCCTTTTGAAATCCCTCCTGGAGGGGTGTGTTGGGCTGCGGGAGTAGTCTCCGTACACCGAAGAACGCGAACAGCCCAGCCACAGGCCAGCAGCCTGGGCATTTTGCCGAAGAGGTCTGCTTTCAGCGCAGGGCGGAGGGTGCCACTCTCAAAACAGCTAGTAGAGTGACCAGCCTCCCTGCTTCTTGGCAGACTTTCCCAGCTAACAGTTCCAGCGGAGTTTTTGAGCCCATTCAAGAATTCCATCTCACAGAGAGTGTTTCCGATACAGTCATTTGATCAGTTAGCGTTTGCACATGCACCTGCTAAGCTACTGGGAGAGCGTCACAGAGCCACATCCCCCCCCCCCCCCCCCCCCCCCCCCCCCCCCCCCCCCCATCCACCACTGGTAATCGAAAGGCTCTTGCATTCGCCGGGTGATTCAGATACAGGGAAGAAACCACACGTCTATGGTGCAGCCTGAGGTCAGGCTTCCAGTGCAGAGGTGATTCTCTTGCCTCATGACAACTTCCCTGTCACTTTGTTCCTGGGGCAGGTAGGGGTTTTTTGTTGGTCTCCTTACCTGGAGGTGGCTTCGTCTCCTCCCTTCCCATGGCTCTCCCCGACGACCTGGTCCTTGCCGCTGGGGTGGTAAGCAGTTAGCACAACTCCCGAGGAACTCGAGAGCCAGTTCATGATGAGAGAAAGGGCATAATTTCTGGGATCCTGACACAGAGAGGAATGAAGTTCCTGTCTCGCCTTGGCAACTTGCTCAGTAGCAAAGGGCCAGCCCCTCCCCTGTCCGGGCCAGCGATTCACAGGGAGAGGGGCGTGGCCTCTCCTGCTGGGCTTCCTGGCCTTGCAGCTACAGGCTGCTTGTGACTCACAGCTTTGTTTAAACCCGACCATCCCAGTCAGCAGCAGCAGTTAAGGGGGCCAGGGTGCTGCGTGGTGGTCCATGCCCCCAAAGAAAGACAGCTAGCTGACAATACAAGCCTAGCGAGTTAGGAAACCGTGGACTAGGGCAGCGCCTTTTTCCCCTTCCCCATTCCTGTTTCCATCTGATAGTTTCTGCTACTTCATGTAACTGGAGTAAGGCATTCCTTAACCCCTTCAGGCGAGGCATCAACATTCACCACAGCAAAACCAAGGAGCACAGTCAAACATCCAAGTGCCATCTGGCCATCACGAGAAAGGCTTTGTGCTACCGCATTTAAAATATTGTGTTACTGTGTACCCTGGAATGTCAAACAAACCTCTTGTTTTATCAAAACATTCTGTAGGAGATTGAAAAAAAAAGTCTATCTAATGACTTGTCTGTTAAGAGGTATTGCTCAAAATAAAAGAAGTTCCAACATTTGCTGAGATTCTATTGCTTTCCAGCTCTGTGGGTGTATGTAGATGTGTATGTCTGTGTGCATATGTGTATGTCTGTGTGTGTATGTGTATGTCTCTGTGTATGTGTATGTCAATGTGTGTGTTTGTCTGTGTGTATGTGTATGTCTGTATGTATGTGTATGTCTGTGTGTGTATGTGTATGTCTGTGTGTATGTGTATGTCTGTATGTATGTGTATGTCTGTGTGTGTATGTGTATGTCTCTGTGTATGTGTATGTCAATGTATGTGTTTGTCTGTGTGTATGTGTATGTCTGTGTGTATGTGTATGTCTGTGTGTGTATGTGTATGTCTCTGTGTGTATGTGTGTGTATGTCTGTGTGTATGTGTATATCTGTGTGTGTATGTCTCTGTGTATGTGTGTATGTGTATATCTGTGTGTATGTGTATGTTTGTGTGTGTATATGTATGTCTGTGTGTATGTGTATGTCTGTGTGTATGTGTATGTCTGTGTGTATGTGTATGTCTGTCTCTGTGTGTATGTGTATGTCTCTGTGTGTATGTGTGTGTATGTCTGTGTGTGTATGTGTATGTCTGTGTATGTGTATGTCTCTCTGTGTGTATGTGTGTATGTGTATATCTGTGTGTGTATGTCTGTGTGTGTATATGGATGTCTGTGTGTGTATGCATAAGTGTGTGTGTGCTCAGATAATGTCACTAGGTACACACCTGACTCCCTAGTGCCCAAGCAGACCGTTCTCTGACCTGTAGCCACTCTCACTTCCTACCCTAAGTGAGGCTTTCACCTCAATCACAGGCCCTTCTTCCCTCAGGTCACACTGTCTTCCTGTCTCTTCCCTCTGCATCTGACCTCTCATTTTTCCATATCCCAGGCTTTAAAATCAATGTTAGACAGAGGAAGAATTAAGGGATTCTGAACGGTTGGTTCTTCAGTATTAATCTGGAATTAAAATTGGTCAGACGAATGGCTGCTGCGCCCATACTAGCACCACTGAGGAGTTTTCCAGTTCAGGTAAAATTTTTAAAAAGTAAATAGATAAGAAGAAGAAGGAGGAG